CATATATATAACATACAGGTGAGAACCATATACATACATATATATATAACATACAGGTGAGAACCATATCTTTTTTTTCTGAATATGTGATCAGAACCAGCCTATCCTCCAGTTGAGGGTTTCTGCTCGTAGCAGGAGGTTATAAACCGCTGGCTGTTTGGATAAAAAGCTCAAAAGGAGCCCATTTTTCTTCAGTGGACAACAAACTACAGTCCATTTTATTTAATCACATATGTTGGATATTATAGATTTGATCCCTTAGTGTTACCGACTGCTTTGTTTTTTTTAAGGTACTGTTAAAGTGTAAAGGGTACTGTTTCTAAGTATTTCTAAGTGGCTTTTTCCTCATTTACCACTAGGGATGTCCTGATCCCGGCCTATATGAACACGTTTTAAAGTCTAAAGTTATTTATCTACTTACTTAGTTGTCAGACTCATGTTGAACAGGGATTTACTCTGATAACAACTTAATGGTTAGGACACAGACCTGTGGTTACAGATGCTAATGCTAATGCTAATGCTCTGATAACAACTTAATGGTTAGGACACAGACCTGTGGTTACAGATGCTAATGCTAACGCTAATGCTCTGATAACAACTTAATGGTTAAGACACAGACCTGTGGGTTACAGATGCTAATGCTAATGCTAATGTGGGATCAGACTTTAAAAAAACTGGATCTGTGTTTTCTCCTGCCGGCCGATCCGATCCAGATATCGGATCGGGACCGGCCTAATTGAAACATTAGAAACATACAAAGTTATAAATAGATCATAAATAAAAACATCATAAATTAATTGAATAAAGAAAAAATGAATAAAACTGTGCAGAATAAGAGGCATGTTGGAGTTAGGGATAATGAGGTGGGTAAGAAATGTTAAACAGGGGTTTGAGTTTTATTTTGAAAGGAGGGAGAGTCTGTATTTGGGGTTCGGGGATCCAGAGTCTGAAGGCTCCGCCCCCTTTGTTTCCAGCGAATCGGGCGAGGCCACGCTGAGGATTGTGGGCGTGGCCTCTGAGGACGACGGCGTCTACACCTGCGTGGCCACAAACGAGCTGGGCAGCGCCGCCTGCTCCGCCAGCCTCCGGGTCCTGGGTGAGAGAGCCGAGATTAACCCTAAACCTAACCCTAACCCTAAACCTAACCCTAACCCTAAACCTAAACCTGATCCTAACCCTAAACCTGACCCTAACCTTAACCCTGACTCTAAGCCTTAACCCTTAAACCTAATACTGATCCTGACCCTGACCCTTAAACCCTGACCCTAACCCTGACCCAAACCCTAAACCTAACCTTAACCCTGACCCAAACCCTGATCCTGACCCTTAACCTTAACCCTGATCTTGACCCTAACCCTAAACCTGACCCTGACCCTTAAACATGACCCTAACCCTTAAACATGACCCTAACACCTGACCCTAACCCTGATCCTAACCCTTAA